GCACCTGGCTGCTGCCTGCTCCAGCCCTTAAAGTGGCAGTCTCTTTTCATATTTTAATGAGGATTGTTTGGTTTGGTTTGGTTTGGTTTGGTTTGGTTTGGTTTGGTTTGGTTTGGAGAGCACTACATCTCAGCAGCCTTCTCATTCCTCTAAGACCCAGGAAGGGTCTAGGAGGCTAGGATTGAGACCAACTCTACAGATGCTTGAAAGGTGGGGTTAAAGGCTTGCAGATATAATATAATCACAGTTCTTGTGCTCTTGGGAGACCAAGGTATGTCCACTGTGATGCTGGAGTCCAAAGGGGTGAGGGACCCATCATTCTGATCTGCTTCCCTCTCCACATAGGTCAGCAGAGCTTGTCCTACCCAAAATGGAGATAGTATATACCACATCCTTTCAAAGCCTCCAGCAAGGACTGTACATTCCCAGAGCTCCCACAAGGGTGGGGAATCTTCAACTGTATAACGGGCTTTCCTGAGGAATCTGGCTAAAAATATTAAGCAGAAGAGGAAACCCACATAACTTAGGCTTCCTCTTCTTTAACATACCCAGCACAAATTCTCTGAAGAGCTTGCTGGGTAGTATGGTATTCATTAAACAGGATTCAGCATATCTGCATGTGTTTTGTGAGGCTCTGGTGAATCATTCATTGACATTCAAAATTTTACTCAATGAATGGGACACACGAGCAGCTGGCCTTCTTTACAGTATCTATAAAGTATCCAGAATAGGAACTGATAAAGCTCCAAAACTAGCTACCTAATTCACTGCTAGATTTGAACCCCTTCTTCACAGTCAAACATGTATCTGCAATGGATTCCACATGCATATGATGCCAAACATTCAGCAGAACTGGTTGAAATTTTTCTGCCATTGACATATAATGGTCTTTGTTAAAAACATTTTTTCTTGGTGGACATTTGTTTTGCAGATACTGTCCAGGAAATATATGGAAACCCAACACTGAACATTTTTTACATACTAATTTTGGAATTTTTGGAAACTGACCGTTTTAACCACAGAGTGTTTTTGATTCTTTTTTTTGTTGTTGAAAACAACTTACAGGGAATGTTAAGAAAAGCAAGTCCTTACATTTTTTAATTTTTTCCCTAC